TACCCCCCCCCCCCCCCCCCCCCCCCCCTCGTCCGTTCCCTCCCCACCTGTTGTTTGCCGAGGTAGACCCGTGTCGCAGTGGATAGGGGGCGAGCCTGCTGCCGATGTTGCTGCACGCGGAATCAACCGCAGCAGCTCGAATTCACCTCCGCCGTGTCTGACAACAACAGCGGCAACGGGGATAGCAACAACCACGACTGCACTAGATACACAAAGACCGCTCGAGGAGGAAGAAAGCAAGGCTCGGATCGACGGCATCATGGGTGGTGCATCTAGCCGTACAGAGACGGCCTCGCACGTAGACGATGGGGCTGCAACTGCTGCTGCCGTTGGAGAAGAGCGTGCTCCTTCTCGGTTGGCAGGCGTAGGACATGTTTCAGGCGTGTTGGACGGGGAGGTGCAGACTGTGGACGACCGAGCACGGGGCAATATGGGGGACAACATGGCGCCAGCTGAGGAAGTGGCGATAGAGAAAGAGGACCTGGGGCAGCTGAGTGCTGATGGTGGCGTCAGCTCGACAGCGGAGAGGGAGACCGACTCCGGTGTCGTCGAAGATGCGGTGCTCGACGACGCGACCGAGGGAAGAGAGGCCACCGCCATCGATGCTACCGCTACGGCGCAGAAGAAGAAAGAGGCTGCGAACACGCCCACCTTGGACAAGACCCCGTCCATGCTCGAGATGCTAAAGCTGAAGAAGGGCATGGGGATCTTCGGAAAGTCGTCGTTGGTGGGCCAGAATAAGGTGTCCCCGAGCCCTACTTCAACAGCGCCCATGTCTAGCCTACCGCCCTCCGTTGCCACAACGGAAGTGGCGCCGGAGTCAGACACGGAGGAGTTGCGAGTAGAGGTCGACGGACAGGGGGCGGACGAAGCACCCGGTGGGCTTGAGGGCAGTGGCGGTACGGGCGCGGCAGCCAAGACAAAGGCGACGGCAGCGGCGGCGGCTTCGCCATCCATGATGGACCTCTCGTCGAGGTTTAGGCTGGGCATGGGCATGTTCGGAAGCGGCAAGGCTTCACCGCGGGTGGTGACGGGGTCGGGGTTCAGCCCGAAGTTGGGCACACAAGCCGCCGCCGCCACCGCCGCCGCTGCTGTTTCCACTACTTCCCCGGCTGCGGGTGGTGCGCCTGTGGAAGCGTCGCCAACGCCGTCCTCGTCTTCTGGCGGGGTGGGAAAGTTTTCGAGCTACGCCCGTCGCGCTGGGAATTTCTTAGGTGATGATACCGCAAATTTTCCAAATCCAAGTGGTGATCTTTGTTCGCAGCTGCCGCCTCCCTCCCCTATCCGGGTTGTACTGTCAACGGAAGGCCTCATGATGCCCTCATGTTTTCACATATATCAGCAGCAAGTAGGTCGTTATGCGGCAGCGCTCTAGGAAAAATTATTTCCCCCCCCACGCAAAGATGATGACACTATCAGCTTCTGGGTCATCCTTGTAGAGGGTAGCCCGGGCCGGCGAAAACCCTGGCATATCGCTCCGCCCCGGCATTGTAGGAATGCGAGGTCTATATTCTACCGACTACGGGCATGCGTTGACACGAGTACCCCCCCCCCCCCCCCCCAACCTCTCCTGTCCAACTCCCACCGTAGGCTCCGATTCCAGAGGCGTCGGCCGTTCCCCGCGGCCCCCCCAGCCGCCGCCGTCTCCCGACGTGCTGCCCAACGGACCACCACCGCCGTCACCTCTAGTCCCGGTCTACCTCTCCTCCCCACCGCCAGAAGCCGAGGACGCAGTCCTCAGACACAGCGAGGCAACTGCTGTGGCGGCGGCGGCCGGGGCCATGGACGTCGCTACGGACGGTGCTTCTCGACAGCTCTCAGACTCAGCCGCGAGCCAAGGGGGTGGAAGGAACAAGCACAAGCGTTCGCTCTCGGACGTGCCGCCAGCCGACGCGGCTTCGGCAGCAGCGGCGGCGGTGGTCGTGGACGCCAACGAATTGGCTTCGGCTGCTTCGGCTGCTTCGTCGGGAGTGGGTGACGCCTCCAAGGGAAGGTCAATGAGCGCCGCGTCGAGCGGAGTCGGCAGCAGCAGCAGCAGCAGTGGCTCAGGGTCCGGGACGCGGAGACAAGGCGAGTCTGCCGACGGCAGCGGAGGCAATGGCCGTCAGAAGCACACGTTTTTCGTGGCCAGTGGAGTGTGCCTCCTTTCCACTCGCCCCGAGATAGGGGCGATGCGGCGGGCGCTGGCGGCGTACTGGGCGGCCCACGGGGACGAAATATTAGCCAGAGGGTCCGCGACAGAGGGCGGTGCTGCTGCCGCCCACGCGGGGGGAGAAGGACCGGCTTTGGCTGCTCGCGAATCGGGAGGCGGCGGCGGCAGCAACGACCACGATCGCGGTGGCAGTGATGGCGAGGTGGCAGAGGCACCTTCCGAAGGTTCCGGTGAGGTGGAAGACGAAGAAGAGCAGGAAGAGAAGAAGCACGTGGGGGCATGGACGGAGATGGACCCCAGCACGCTCCGAGACGTGTTGGTGCCGTTTGTGACGCAAGAACGGCGGGATGAGAAATACAAAGAGGGCCAAGCCCATCGGTACGACAAGGAACGCCGGCGGTCGGCGGGCGCTTCGCAGGACCGGACGAGTGCGGCGGATGTCTTGACGAAGTCCTTTTCCGCTGGAAGCCTTAGGCATCCCGGCCAATCCAGTGGGGCGACACACGGGCAAGGGGACCGAGCAGAACCAGGGGAGACGACTGAGGGTGGAGTCGATATGTCGGCGGTGGCGCACGAAGATGGGTCGGGTTTCGGACTGGACTTCGACCCTTCCGTGGTTTTCCGGTGCCTGAGCCCGCGGAATCTCTGCCTGGTGATGTTGGCCCTGTTGTGCGAGAGAAAGGTGGTGTTGGTGTCCTCGCGACTGTCCCTTCTCACCCAGGCGGGAGAGGTGTTCAGGTGAGTTCAGTGTTCTTGCTATGCGGATATAGCTATAGCTAAAGCTATGCTGCTTTCTTGGGTTAGGGTGTCCGCCTTTGCACTTTGCACGGCCACTGCTTTCGGGGATGGGGGGCTGGATGGGAGTCCAGCTACTCGCGCTCGACTCTTTGGCCCTCTAGATTTTTGGTTGTGGGGACGCCTATGTCTTGGGCTCAAATTTCGGCCAAGCATGCTTCCCTTGCTCAGAACCCGGGTGATACCCCGCACTAGCACGTGCTGCGTTCAGCTTGGAATCGTTGCCTTTCCGTCGTGTTTGCATTTTTCAGTTATTCGCTGCTGCTCCCGGCAGCGGGCACAACATGAGCCCGCCCAAAACTATTGGAACAAGCAGCGCCTCATCCCCCCCCTTCTCCTCTAACCCTAGCCATTCTCACATCCCCCCCCCTGCTCGCGTTTGGTTGTGCCCCCGTCTATGCGAAGGTCGCTGTTGCAGCCCTTGTCCTGGAGCCATGTGTACGTCCCTCTTCTGCCTCGAAAGATGGCGGCGGATCTTCTGCAATGCCCCACTCCTTTCATTCTTGGCCTGGAGTCGGTGACGGCCAGAGAGCTGGAGCTGCCTAGAGACGCGATACAGGTGAGGTGCTTGCCCTAACGCTGGATAGGCGTAGGACATGGAAGACGCGTGCTTGTCGCGTGGACTGATGTCGTCTTAGCGCGGAGCCCAACGCGAAGCAGGTGAAAATATGCTCCCGCGCGCAAGGCGAGACACGTTAGCTGGCTTGTGCGATCGTTTTCCCGCAGTTCTTCTAACCACCATCCCTGTTCTGGCTCAAACCCTATCCTTCCCGTTGATGTTGTATCACGGATGTTGCAATCAGTTCTTAGCTGTTCTCTGCTACTAGTACCGGATAAGTAACTCCATGCCACGGGTTATCCCCCCCTACCCGATGCCGCTCCGCCCCTGAAGGTTCATCTCGACACAGACTACCTCTGCGTGCCAAAGGACTTCTTGGGGCTGGCGCCGATGTGGGTCGTTTGCTCGCGCATCAGCTCCGTCTTAAACCCCGGGGTGGACGACCTGGACTGCCCTTCGAGTGGAGGTGCTGGTGCTGATGCTGGCGGTGTCTGGGCTGCGGGAACGGCCCGCTCAATCCGGTTTCTGTTCCGAGAGTTCATCTCGGAGCTCCTGCAGGTGTGTTGTGTGATGATAGTTGCGCTTCATGGTTGGACGCTCTTGTTCGTCTTCTGTTTCATGGCAAAAGCAAGCTGTTCTGGGCTTCGGTGCGGACCCGTTTCGCCCCCGACTTTTCATACTTTTCGTACCACCGGAACGAAAACAAACCTTTGGTCGACGTCTACTGACACAATACACCCAAGTTTGAAACCCGCACTTGTTCTTGATTGTGATTTGGCACTGCCATTTCATTCTGGCAAGCACAATACTTGGGGTACCTCTTTTTCCCAAGTCACAACCCAGCGGGCCCCCTTTCTAAAGAAGTACCACGCCTCTTGCTTTGAACTGAAGGGAGCCACGGAAAGCACATTCCGGGTCGGCCAAGGCTCCACCGCCACGATACTGCTCGATGAGCACCTCTACAAGCGCGCTAAGGCTTCCGCTGCCAAGACTGCGGAGCTCTTTTACGATGACCAGAGGCGTTCGTCGGGCCGGGGGGGGGCGGGGCATGGCCTACACGAACAGCAGTACCCGGGTCCGCTGTACAATCGGCACTGCGGGTTGCTGTTGGACCAGTTCGTGAAAACACAAATGCTCTCTCACTTTCTATCTGAAGGGGGCTCGGAGTGAGTGATATTTGGTTCTGCTGTCTCCGTGATTGTTTCCGTTGTTGTTGTTGTTGCTGATGCCGCTTCATGATTGTTATGGTTGTATTTTGTCGTTGTTGCTGATGCCGATGCGATGTCGTGTCCAAAAGAGGTCGCGCTTGTTGGTAGTTGCGGCGCTGGGAAGCGAGCGCTCGAAGACGTAGTGTTGTTTGACCAAGTGCGGATTTAACTGTGTTGGGGTGGAGTTCCATGTCGTTGATTGTTTTGTTTTTTCTCGTACAAATTTTCTCGATGCTGTTGTATTTGGAGTTGAGGTGTCTGTTATTTTTGTGGTTTGACATAGTTCCATTTCGTTGTTGTTTAAGGCACACAGTTTTGGCTTTTATTTGTGTGGGATTTGCTGCTTTGAGTTCACCGATTGAAGCCGATACATACACCAATGCATGATGACGTCATGTTTCGTGTATCCTGCTAGATGGTTGCTTTTCACTCCTTCTATCACTGTCGAACACAAGCACAAGCACGAGGTGTGGGAGTGGTGGGGGTCTTGGCATTATAGTGAAACGCCATTGATTTATTTCGCAGGTTTTTTCGTCGGGGACTGCTGTAGTGTAGTGCCTATCCCCGGTGGTGAAGTGTGCTTCGTTTTTGTCGGCTGGTAAGGTCGGCACCTTGTGGCCTGTCGAAGGGAGGGTGTTTCATATCGATGACGATTCTCGATCGTTTCCCCAACAGTCACTTTTCCTATTCGATGCTTTCGCCGCAGAGTAACCCTAACCCTACGTCATCGAGCCCGCTTGCCCTGTGGCAACAACAGTGGCTGGCTGGTGGGAGAGTAACGTCAAGGCTTGGACATTGTTGTTGACTGGAGTGCAGTATCTCACCACAGAAGCCAAGTAGACCGTGAAGGGTGCCTTGTGCACCCATTGTCCGTTAGAATGAAATTAAATTGTTGTTTTCGTTTTTTCGTGTATTCTGGAATAATAGTCGTTTGTGTAAGAATAGTAAGCGTTGCGAATTAGTTGCCATGAAACGCCCAGTTGGAATGAAATTGATTCTACTTTCCGTGCGCCTCTTTTGTCGTTGTTTTGCGTTGATGGTAAATATGTGCGAACGGGGGGGGGTGACCTCGAAGCTCCCGGTAGCCAGCAACGGCGTTACTACAGTACTGCCGTAGCAAGAGCAGCGCCCATTCGAATCGAACGCCATGCCGGTCTTTTGCTTGTTTGGATGTATTCCGAACGTATATATGTGTTGTTAAACTCCACACGATAAATACCCGACGCAAAACTGTGTCGTTAAAAATCCGGAATTGTGTTGTTGGCTCAAGGGCTATCAACCTCCACTGCCCTATGTAGCTCCAGGGAGACGGATTATCCGGTCCTCATCCTTACCGGACGGACCAAGCACCTTGGCAACATCGGACGACTACTGTACGTCGGGAATACCCTTTTTCCGCGGAGACAATACGGCAGAAAGCATACTAAACATTTTAGCGTATTAGTAGACAGACCAACCAGCGTTCCATGGCCAAAGTTCTGCTAGCTCACCGGCGGGAGGTGGACGAAACGTTCTCTCAGTCTGATTATTTCGAAGTTGTTGCGGGATGTTGGGTGTTTGTTTTTAGTGCTGCTGTAGATCTTCTTCCATAATTGCTGCATCGGGTTCAACTCGTGATCCCAGAACCTCGTTTGCTAGCCATTGTTTTTGTTGCTGTTGTTGCTGTTGTTGTCTCCACTACTATAGACGTTCCGGTTTCCGCTCCTCTCAGTATTACCTTCTAATGTCCATACTGATCCAACTGACGCGGACTGGAGTGCGGAATTACGAAGGGGAGGGGAGAGATATTGGAGAGAGCAGTCCACTCAAATGGTACTAGCCGATAAACTCAAAAACAACGACGACAATGACACCCAACACACCAGCAATTTAGACTACGGGAATGAGTGGGACCACTTTGGTCGTTGGTCGAGAGGGGACGCCCGGATGCCCGGCGAATTCTTCATTGCTTGTTACCGTCAGCATAGTAGCAGAGGATCAATTCTCACGCTTCAAGTACGTGCAAAACCTTCTCGAGTAAAATCGGGTCTGCAAACGAATTCAAGTTCGGCACGAAAATGGATGTAGGCGTCTGTCCCGGTAACATGTTGAAATTTGCATACAGCCGATCATTGTCTTTCTCCCTACCGTGAATACGCGAGTAAAAAACCATGATTTCTCATAAACATTCTCCACGCCATAGCGTCAGCATTGGGACTAGTAACTAACGCCGATATTGGTCGGCTATCAGAAACGCTCCCTGCCCTTTGCGATATCGTCGTTCAGTGATTGTTGTTCCCTGTGCATCTGCGTCTTGACGTCGAGGTGCCTCTTGCATCGCACGGCGTCCTACGTTTTACTCGGTACTGCCCGGCATTGAACATGATCTCAGGGATCTTTTGACTTTTGTGAGAAGGAGCACCGGAGAATGGGTTCGACTTGGGCAGAAACATGTAGACTACTACAGGAGACGAGTGAACTACTGTATTCCTCATAATTCTTGGCCTTTATTTTGTTTTCTTTCGAATTGCTTCATTATTTCTTCGGTTTCTAGGCTACGTGTTGGGGAAAGAGACGCACGAAACGCTCATCGTCTCTCCGGCCGCGTTAGCTGCGAAGGCCGGCGTCAACTCTTACAAATCCATCTCTCTCCCCACGAATACTAGCCGGGGGACTACGACTGCAAACGCAGGAGTCCCAAAACTGACCAAGTCCTCAAATGGTACACACCATTCTACAACACCCACATCGAGGTCAGTTTCTGGACGACCACCGAATAAGTCAACTATCCGTTCCCCACACGGTCCCCTCCCCCGGCTGTCTCGATACTATCCTGCTGCCGTCTGTAAGTTTCCGTGACACTCGCCGCGAATCCTCTACATTGTTTCGCGCGTACGGCTTGTATGCATCCGACCTCCACTTCCCTTCTCTCTGAATCACTCGTTCTGCGATGTCTCCGCCCGATGCAAGAGCCGTCGCGCCTCCAATTCGCAACGAGTGCAACGCGTACTCCTGGGGGTTACGCCCCGACTTCGCTACCACTTCTCTGACTGCACGGAGGGCAGCACTATACCTCACTACTCTCACTGCTCTTCCACTACGGTACGAAGCCAACGGTGCGGAGTCAGGCAACGTCGCATGACACGATAACAGCTCCACCACAAGAGCCACCGCGCCGCCGCGTGCTCTCACACCTGACTGCGGTCCGGTGACTTCGTCTCGCGTACGAACCCGTATGTTTCCTTTCTGCTCTTGATCGGCCTTGTGCCCTCTAAACCTCATTTCGACACGGTCTGCTCTACGATAGTGACTAAAGACTAGTTGCGTCTCGCCGGCAAACAATGCTACGTCCGCCCTCGTAAGACAGTGTGCCTCATGCACCCTGCCCGCGTCATTCGCGAACACCTCATCAGACCGTGTGATGAAGAGAGATAGGACAAGCACAGACACAGCCACATCACTCTGCCCCCTTCCCCCCAGTTCTGGCTTGCGCTTTCCCCGTCCAGCAGCATACGCCAAGACACAGGCAGGCGCACACGACGTACCGTCCCCATAGCCACGTGGTTCCTCGCAATCCCCCTTAGCGCACATTTCAACATCGGAGACGACAAGTCTAGCTCGACACAAGCTTCCAGCCTATGAAAATGTTGCACAGCCGTGAGTTTTCCGGATATTGTACTCGCTAGATTGCCCTCAGACTCGAAACACCAGGTTACGAAGTCTATCAACTCCCACACATGAAGGTCCCTGGCACGTTGCCCTAGGAACTTGGGCTTCTCCGTCAGCCTCCGAAACGTGCACCAAGAGTTGAAGCCTGACGTGTAATAAGTCCTTCTAGACGAAGACGCAACTGAGTGCTCGACGACTTTCTAAACTGCCGCCGCTGCTGCGTTAGGCGGCTGCTGCTGTCCTTCCGTTGCTTCACGCGCTCTGTAGCTCTCACACGTTACCCGACTTTGCTACAACCCCTGCGTGGACTCGATCACGGAATGACACCCCCAACTATAGACTAATAATTCCAAACACCGTGACCCTGGGTTTCCGGTAGAAATGAAGCCAAATTCTAATTCGACTGTTACAAAATAAACACCAGTTTATTCTATCTGCTTCGACGAACAAACCTTCCTTTGACGGACAACGATATGACCTTTGGGTCTTTGCGAATTCCAATGCCTTGTCTCGTTGGAGATGGAACAAGTGGGTGTACTCGACGCAGTTGTTGCGTCCATTTTTTAGACTGCCCTAGTTTTGCAGTCGTCTGGCCCATGACATCGCTAAGATGCTCGGGCAAAGTACATCGACGGGCGTCTCTAAGCTGTCGGTGTGTCTAACTTTCTTTTGGCGCTACTGTACCGCACCGGAACAATCAAAATAGATTATGGCCGTGCCTTTCGACTTTTGCGTGTTGCGTATTGGCTTCGTCCTTGGCTTCGTCCTTGGCTTCGTCCTTGGCTTCCCCTCGAAAGGACGTGTTTCTTCCCTTCCTCAGTTCGAGGGTACATGTTGCCTCTCTCTTCGATTGTAAATCTATGACATACTTTGTTTTTTATGGGAGTTCCGTCGGGGGGGCTCCATATTGGATTGACAATCAATCCAGTTAACACGTTCCCTAAGAATACCAAGGCCGTCTTGGTGCGCCCTAGTCACGCGATTCAGGGTTTGCGATCGTGGAATTCAAGGAGACTTGAGCCGTCCACCAACCAACGATCGAATCCGGAAAAGCTCAAAACCGGAGGCTCCGACCGTTCCGCGAAGAGTGGTTTGCCAGTATCCGCCATGTCCAGCCTTAAACGAAAATTGGCGTTTGATGCAGGAGGCGGCGAGTGGCACTACGCGTATGGCCAGGCCCTTGATATATTTGCGCCAGAGTAGCAAGAAAGCCCACCCAGCAAAGAACACAGGTCCTTGCCGTTGGCTGGTAGCGGCATTTTGTGAGGGCTTTAACCTTATCGGCGTGAGGCCTGTCGCTGAATATTAGAGTTTGGCCTGGTGGAGCAGATATATATGGCCAATCTGCTCCATCGGTCTTTGGGCCGCCAAGCCGCCGTGGGTGGGCGCTTCTCTGCATCCACTGGTCCGGTTGGGGTGCCCGATGGCTTGAATGATAGCTGTATCGTGCCAACACAATGCAAGTCTTCGTAGGGCAAACGACACCCTGTAGATAGAGTTTGGCCTGGTGAAGCAGATATGGCCAATCTGCTTCACCGGTCATTGAGCCGCCAAGCCCCCGTGGGTGGGCGCTTCTCTGCATCCACTGGTCCGATTGGGGTGCACGATGGCTTGAATGATAGCTGTGGATCATGCCAAGACAATGCAAGTCTTTGTAGGGCAAACGGCACCCTGTAGATAGAGTTTGGCCTGGTGATGAAGCAGATACGGCCAATCCTCCACCGGCCTTTGAGCCGCCAAGCCCCCGTGGGTGGGCGCTTCTCTGCACCCACTGGTCCGATTGGGGTGCCCGATGGCTTGTATGATAGCTGTGGACCGTGCCAAGACAATGCAAGTCTTCCTAGGGCAAACGGCACCCTGTAGATAGAGTTTGGCCTGATGGAGCAGATATGGCCTATCCGCTCCACCGGCCTTTGAGCCGCCAAGCCGCCGTGGGTGTCTCTGCACCCACTGATCAGATTGAGGTGCCCGATGGCTTGTATGATGACTGTGGGCCGTGCCAACACAACACAGATATTCGCAGGGCAAATGGCACCCTGCAGATAGCGTTTAGCCTGGTGGAGCAGATATGACGTATCTGCTCCACCGGCCTGTGAGCCACTGAGCCCCCGTGGGAAGGCGTTTCTCTGCACCCACTACATAGTCCGATTGGGGAGCCCGATGGCTTTAATGATAGCTGTGAGCCGTGAATGATAGCTGTGAGCCGTGTCAACACGGTACGGTCAGATTTAGGCGCGGTTCAGCTATGTGACGGGAGGTATAGCGGGACTAATGAAATTTACCCCCCCCGTAGACGCCCCCCCCCCTTCGATATTTGCCATCG